TCACAAACAGCGACCTTGATCGATTAATAATTAAAAACGATCCTAATCAAAGATCAATCGCAATGCTGAACCTAAAAAATGATCAATCACAAAAGGCGATCCGGATCAATAATCAGGATTGGCATTTGTGATCAAACCTTGATTAGGATCAGCATTGCGATTGATCATTGATTAGGATTGCTATTTATGAATTGATCGGGATCACCATCTGCAATTGATCATTGATTAGGATCGCCATTTATGAATTGATCGGGATACCATCTGCAATTGACCATTGATTAGGATCGCCATTTATGAATTGATCGGGATCACCATTTGCAATTGATCATTGATTAGGATCGACATTTATGAATTGATCAGGATCACCATTTGCAATTGATTGATTAGGATCGCCATTTATGAATTGATCGGGATCACCATTTGCAATTGATTAGGATCGCCATTTATGAATTGATCGGGATCACCATTTGCAATTGACCATTGATTAGGATTGCGGCGTGATAGAGATAGATCACTGATTAGGATCGCCGTTGGAGATTGATCACTGATTAGGATCGCCATTTGTGATTGATCACTGATTAGGATCGCCATTTGTGATTGATCACTGATTAGGATCGCCATTTGTGATTGACCACTGATTAGGATCAGCATTATGATTGATCATTGATTAGGACCTCCATTTACGGACGATCAATGTTCAGTCGCAAACAACGATCCTGATCAACGATCATTCATAAATAGCGATCCTAATCAATGATCGTTGTTGCGATTGGTAACCTCACCAGTCGCATTCCGCGAGGTATAAAATCTCGCCGCCAGCTTTGAACGCACATTACGCTTTTTTAAAAGTGGAAACATTTTGGAAACAAATTGTTTAAAAAAAATTTTTTACGATTTTTAACGGGAATTTTTTTTTTAGTTATCGATTGCGTAACCTGCGAGTGCGTCGCGCAGAAGATTTCCGCCTTTTCCGATCGACAGACTGTCCTGCGCGATCGCCGCTTGTGATTGGTAACAGAACCAACCGCATTTCATGGGACACCTGACCCCCCCGTATTGGCTGTGGGCATCCACCGAGGCACGCGGGTTACCGCTCTGCGCGGCGACGTACCAGCACTGTGCGCGTTACGTCGTGGCGCCACTCCGGTAGAGCCCAACGCACTGCAGCGCACCACAACGCGTATATTTTGCGCTGCCGTTTTAGGAAGGGGTCCTGTCCGTTTTAGTTGCCCATTCATTATGAATGGGGGTACCTCAGCGCAACGCACAATGGAACGCTTGGGTGCGAATGGGCCCCTCGAATTCTGTTGCTCGGTGCCCCGACTTTTCCGTTTTATCCCCTCACTGTGCCTTTTTTTTTTTTACCAATCTCATCTCCACCAAAAATTAGACACCCCATCGCCCTCCCGGCGTTTTCATGTCTTCACCAGTTGCTATGCTAACGCCTCGGTCCCTGGCCGACTCGATCATCACTCCGGTAGTAGACATTTCCCAGCATGCCGGTCATTTTCGGGCAATTACACCATTTCCCTTCCCATCGAAGATGCCCCAATCGGCAGGAAATGGAGGATTTCGGCGGCGGCCCGGTGCGTTTTTTTTTTTTTTTCCTTCGTGGTCCGCGAGATAACAGAGCTGCCATTATCTCTTCGCCGGCTCCTCTTCCCTCCTCCGTAGCATGTGTCACAACAAGGAACAGGTGCAGCGACCGCCTGTCGCCCCCCATATTGGCTGCGGGCACCCTCTGAGGAGGATGTGGAGGTTTAACCCCTCGCCTGCCGCGGGGAGATGAGCCTTCATATAGGAAGTGTCTTCAGCTCAGCGCTGATGGTTCCCCGTTTGCGTTGGAGATACATCTGGCGATAACGAGCACCGGACGCCGTAGGTTGTCATGATCCGTCTGGAGGGTCTCGTCGTGTTTGGATCTCTTCGCTGGGGGTAGAGGAGGATCGGTTTTCTTTGTGGTGGTCTGGGAGGAGGTCAGCGCAGTCCCGTATGGAGATCCAAATACATGACACACTATAAGGCCGAAAGGTTTGTGAACACCCGACCATCTCATCTCCATGGCCAATGGGATGTGGACCTCACTCCAGATGATGGAATTCAGGTGTCTCCGGTGAGGGGTCCTGGTAATCCTCCATCATACAAAGACATGGTGGACAACTGGGCACTCCCAACATTGTGGGAACAGTTTGGTGACAACCCCCGTTTTGTGTTCCAGCATCACTGTACCCCCGTTTGTACAAAGTCAACTCCATAGAGAGTTTGTGGTTTGACTAGTTTGGTGTGGAGTGTCCATGCACGGAGCACTGACCTTCGACCCTACTGAACACCTTTGGGAAGAGTTGGAGTGCCAATGGTGGGCCAGGTCTTCTCATCCAACATCAATACTTGACCTCAACCCTACTGAACACCTTTGGGAAGAGTTGAAGCGCCAATGGTGGGCCAGGTCTTCTCATCCAACATCAATACTTGACCTCAACCCTACTGAACACCTTTGGGAAGAGTTGGAGTGCCAATGGTGAGCCAGGTCTTCTCATCCAACACCGGTACCTGACCTTAACTGTACTGAATACCTTTGGGAAGAGTTGGAGTGCCAATAGTGAGCCAGGTCTTCTCATTCAACATCAGTACTTAACCTCAACCCTACTGAACACCTTTGGGAAGAGTTGGAGTGCCAATGGTGAGCCAGGTCTTCTCATCCAACACCGGTACCTGACCTTAACCGTACTGAATACCTTTGGGAAGAGTTGGAGTGCCAATAGTGAGCCAGGTCTTCTCGTTCAACATCAGTACTTGACATCAACCCTACTGAACACCTTTAGGATGAGTTAGACTACCAGTGGTGAGCCAGGTCTTCTCATCCTACACCAGTGCCTGACCTCCACCCTACTGAACACCTTTGGGATGAGTTGGACTACTGGTGGCGAGTCACTTCTTCTCATCCAACACCAATGCCTGACCTCCACCCTACTGAACACCTTTAGCATGAGTTGGGCCACCAATGGTGAGCCAGGTCTTCTCATTCAACATCAGTACTTGACCTCAACTCTACTGAGCACCTTTGTGAAGAGTTGAAATGCCAATGGTGATCCAGGTCTTCTCATCCACTATTGGTATTTGACCTCAGCTCAATGCTACCGAACACCTTTGTGATGACCTGGAATGCCAATGGTGAGCCAGGTCTTCTCATCCAACATTGGTACCTGACCTCAAACCCACTGAACACCTTTTTGATGAGTTGGAACACCAGTGATCAGGCAGGTCTTTTTTTGGGGCCCAACGTGACGCCAGATGTATGAGCCAGGTCTTCTCATCCAACAACAGTACTTGACCTCAACCCTACTGAACACCTTTAGGATGAGTAGGACCTCCAATGGTGAGCCAGGTCTTCTCATTCAACATCAGTACTTGACCTCAACCCTAATGGACACCCTTAGGATGAACTGGAACGCCAATGGTGATTCAGGTCTTCTCATCCAACATCAGTACTTGACCTCAACCCTACTGAACACCTTTAGGATGAGTAGGACCACCAGTGGTGAGCCAGGTCTTCTCATTCAACATCAGTACTTGACCTCAACCCTAATGGACACCCTTTGGGATGAACTGGAACGCCAATGGTGATCCAGGTCTTCTCATCCAACATCAGTACTTGACCTCAACCCTACTGAACACCTTTAGTATGAGTAGGACCACCAATGGTGAGCCAGGACTTCTCATTCAACATCAGTACTTGACCTCACCCCCCAACTAATGGACACCCCTTGGGTTGAAATGAAACGCCAATGGTGATTCAGGTCTTCTCATCCACTATCAGTACTTGACCTCAACTCAACCCTACCGAACACCTTTGGGATGACCTGGAACACCAGGTCTTCTTGTCTATTATTGGTACCTGACCTCCAACCTACTGAACACCTTTTTGATGAGTTGGAACACCAGTGATCAGCCAGGTCTTTTTTTCTGGTGCCCAACGTGACGCCAGATGTATGAGCCAGGTCTTCTCATCCAACAACAGTACTTGATCTCAACCCTACTGAACACCACTGAACACCTTTAGGATGAGTGGACTACCAGGGTGGCCACAGGTCACTTCTTCTCATCCAACATCAGTGCCTGATCTCAACCCTACTGAACACCCTTTAGTATGAGTAGGGACCTTTTGACCAATGGTGAGCAGGTCTTCTCATTCAACATCAGTACTTATGACCTCAACCCTAATGACACCCTTGGGATGAACTGGAACGCCAATGTGAGTTTCAGGCCCCTGACCTCTTCTCATTCAACATCACTATCAGTACTTGAGAAGAGTTGGAAATGCCTCCAAGCTCAACCCTACCAACTCGAACACCTTTGGAATGATGACCAGGTCTTCTCATCCAACCATCAGTGGTTTAAGAAGTTGGACCAGAGTCTTCTCATCCAAAACACCAACAAAGGTGGTAACCCTACTGACACCTCAAGTAGGACCTACTGAACACTTAACCTTTTTGATGAGGAACGCCAATGAATTCAGGTCCTTCTCCAGTGACCTCACCCTACCGTCTTTTTTTCTGGTGGTACCTCAAACCTACTGAACACCTTTTTGATGAGTTGGGACGCCAGATGGTGTATGAGCCAGATGTATGAGCCAGGTCTTCTCATCCAACAACAGTACTTGTACCTCACAAATGGGTACAAATTTGCACAGACACCCTCCAGAATCTTGTGGAAAGACGTTCCAAATAAGTGGAGGCTGCTATAACTATAAAGGAGGACCAACTCCATAATAAAGGTTATGGGGGGATGGGGGGGGCAAATCTCCATATTTATGGCCGTGGTTTTGGAATGGGATGTCCAACCAGCTCATAGAGGTGTGATGGTCAAACGTCCACAATCTTCCAGTTAGCACCGTACTGAAGTTTTAGTTTCATGTTATTTGTGGTTTTTGAAAGTCCTATTGAGTGAACTGAACATCATAAGATTTCCTCTCTGACTGTTCTGTGTTTCCTTCCATTAGGATGGACAGAGTGACAGAAGAAGCCCTCCGCCTCAACCTCCTCCTGAAGAGGGGCCTGGAGCAGCCCCGATGACCGCGAGGATGTTCTGGCCAAGCAACTCAAGATGGAAGGCCACGAGGCCATGGAGAGACTGAAGATGCTGGCTCTCCTCAAAAGGAAGGACCTTCCCGGGCTGGAACTGCCGCACGAAACCACTCCGCCAAACAGGATGGACTCAAAACTATACGACGAGAAAATGAACGGGAACCTGCGGCCCCACGTGGACACCCGGCCCTCTGGAAGGCATGGCAAAGGAGAACATCAACGAAGAGCCAGTGGACATGAGCTCCAGACGGGGGTGAGATGTCCATTCATGCCACTGAGCCAGTCACAGGGGAGCTTACACTCAAATGTCCCCTCCCCCACAGTCCCCATCAGTCTCTGTACCAGAGGATCTTACACTGCAATGTCCCCTCCCCCACAGTCCCATCAGTCTCTGTACCAGTGGAGCTTACACTCTAATGTCCCCTCCCCCACAGTCCCATCAGTCTCTGTATCAGAGGAGCTTACACTGTAAAGTCCCCTCCCCCACAGACACTGTACCAGAGGAGCTTACACTCTAATGTCCCCTCCCCCACAGTCCCACCAGTCTCTGTACCAGAGGAGCTTACACTCCAATGTCCCCTCCCCCACAGTCACATCAGTTTCTGTACCAGAGAGCTGACACTCTAATGTCCCCTCCCCCACAGTCCCATCAGTCTCTGTACCAGAGGAGCTTACGCTCTAATGTCCCCCTCCCCCGCAGTCCCATCAGTCTCTGTACAGAGGAGCTTACACTCTAATGTCCCCTCCCCCACACAGTCACATCAGTCTCTGTACCAGAGGAGCTTACACTCTAATGTCCCCTCCCCACAGTCACCATCAGTCTCTGTACAGAGGAGCTTACACACTCTAATGTCCCCGATCCCCCACAAGTCCCATCAGTCTCTGTACCAGAGGAGCTTACACTCTAATAATACCCCCCTCCCCCACAGTCCCCATCAGTCTCTGTACAGAGGAGCTTACACTCTAATGTCCCTCATCCCCCACAGTCACATCAGTCTGTACCAGAGGAGCTTACACTCTAATACCCCCTCCCCCACAGTCACATCAGTCTGTGTACAGAGGAGCTTACACTCTAATGTCCCCTCCCCCACAGTCCCATCAGTCTCTGTACACAGGAGCTTACGCTCTAATGTCCCCACTCCCCACACAGTCCCATCAGTCTGTACCAGAGGAGCTTACACGCTCTAATGTCCCCTCCCCCACAGTCCCATCAGTCTCTGTACCAGAGGAGCTTACGCTCTAATGTCCCCTCCCCCACAGTCCCATCAGTCTCTGTACCAGAGGAGCTCACTAGCCTAAGTAAAGATGATGTTATCAGTCTGCTGCAGGCAGCAGGAAGACTGTCCGGAGTCCTCCCCTCCCCCAGGCGATCAACTGTACATTGTAACTTTGTAAAAGGAGGACAGGGGTCGCTTGTACCGTTCCTTAGTCTCCTCCCCAGTGATCAGACTGTACACATTGTAACTTTGTAGAAGGAGGAGGAGTCATTTCCTCAGTCTCCTCCCCCAGTGATCAGACTGCACATCGTATAGCAGGGGCTGATCTGTGTCAGACATTTGTGAACACCACACCGCCAAGAACTGCACAGGCACCAGGACTGACATAGTTGGGTCATCTTTTTGGGCCGGGATCTCAGTCCAGGAAGTAGAGGGTGGCCATGGATGATGCCTGAACAAAGATGGCGCGGTCCTTCTGGAGTGTACAGCGATGAGATGAAGGTGTTGTGGGAGGAGTCCTGCGAGGGGACACACTGACACATGACACCTGATGACAGGTCCTCTTTGTGGCCCCTCAGTGGGTCGCTGTAGTTGTAACCACATGTTCTTTTTCTGCTGACAGGGAGCCGGACCGGGCCGGACTGACCCCCTCCCCCGACGTCATCGTCCTCTATCTGACAACGAGGCCTCCAGCCCACGATCCACCTCCCGGCGCCGACGACAAGATCAAGCTGGCCAACCTGGAGAACTGTTCAAGGTGGGGAATCCGTCCGGGAGCGACTCGTGGAGGTTCCCCCTTCATTAACAAGGACCCCTTATCCCGGGGGAGGGGCGGGGGTGATATACAGGGGGGAGGGTTTATGTACAGGATATATACAGGATATATACAGGGGGAGGGGTTTTACAGGACATATACAGGGGAAGAGGGTTAATGTACACAGATACGACATGTACAGGACATATACCAGGGGTTAATGTACAGGAAATGGGGGGGAGGGGAAGGGGTTAATGTACAGGAGGGGTTAATGTACAGGGAACATGTACAGACATATATACAGGGGGGGAGGGATAAAGGTAACAAAGGACATATATGGGGGGCGAAGGGGTTTAAGGGGTTAATGTCAGGTATGGGGGGGGGAGGGGTTACGTTGTACAGGGGTTTATGTACAGGATATATCAGGGGGAGGGGTTAATGTACATGACATATACAGGGGGGAGGGTTAATGTACAGGTATATACAGGGGGAGGAGGGAGGTAGGGGGTTAATGTACAGGATATATACAGGGGGAAGGAGAAGGGTTAATGTACAGGGGGGGAGGGAGGGAAGGGGTAATTGTACAGGATAAATACAAGTGACATGTAGGGGTAAGGGGTTAATGTACAGGATATATACAGGGGGGGAGGGGAAGGGGTTTAATTACAGGATATATAACGGGGGGGGGGGGAAGGGTTAATAGTACATGATCATATACAGGGGGAGGGGGTTAATGTACAGGATATATACAGGGGTGGAGGGAATGTACAGGACATAACAGGGGGGAGGGGAAGGGGTTAATGTACAGGACATATACAGGGGGGGAGGGGGGTTAATGTATACAGGAAGGGGTTAATATACAGGGGGGGAGGGAAGGGTTAATGTACAGGACATATACAGGGGGGGAGGGGAAGGGGTTAATGTACAGGATATATACAGGGGGGGGGAAGGGGTTAATGTACAGGACATATACATGGGGGTGGGGGGCGAATGGTTAAGTACAGACAATATACAGGGGGGGGGGTTAATGGGAAGGGGGTAAATGTACAGGAGGGGTATTATACAGGGGGGGGGGAGGGGAAGGGGTTACATGGGGGGGGGGGAAAAGGGGTTATTGTACAGGACATATACAGGGGGGGGGAGGGGTTAATGTACAGATATATTACGGGGGGGGAGGGGTTAATTGTACAGGACATATACAGGGGGGGGGGGGGAAAGGGGTTAATGTACAGGACATTATACAGGGGGGGAGGGAAGGGGGTACAGGGGTTATATGAGGGGGGGAGGGGGGGGAGGGGGAGGGGTTAATGTACAGGACATATACGGGGGTGGGGGGAGGGGAAGGGAGGAGGGGATAATGTACAGGACCAATATACAGGGGGGAGGGGGAAGGGTTAATGTACAGGACATATACCAGGGGGGGGGAGGGGGGGGGGGGGAAGGGGTTAATGTACAGGACATATACAGGGGGGAGGGCGGGAAGGGGTTAATGTACAGGACATATACAGGGGGGGAGGGGAAGGGTTAATGTACAGGATATATACAGGGGGGAGGGGAAGGGAGGCGTACCAATACAGGCATATGGGGTTAATGTACAGGACATATACAGGGGGGGGGGGGGGGTTAACAGGACATGTACAGGATATATACAGGGGGGGGAGGGGGAGGGTTAATGTACAGGACATATACAGGGGGGGGGGGAGGGGGGAGGGGTTAATGTACAGGACATATACAAGGGGGGAGGGGAAGGGGTTAATGTACAGGACATATACGGGGGCTTGGGGGGGGAGGGGAAGGGGTTAATGTACAGGACATATACAGGGGGGGGAGGGGAAGGGGTGTAATGTACAGGATATATACAGGGGGGGAGGGGAGGGGAAGGGGTTAATGTACAGGACATATACAGGGGGGGAGGGGGGGGGGGGGGAGGGGAAGGGGTTAATGTACAGGACATATACAGGGGGGGGGGGGAAGGGGTTAATGTACAGGACATATACAGGGGGGGGGGGGGGTGAAGGGGTTAATGTACAGGACATATACAGGGGGGAGGGGAAGGGGTTAATGTACAGGACATATACAGGGGGGAGGGGAAGGGGTTAATGTACAGGACATATACAGGGGGGGGGGGAGGGGAAGGGTTAATGTACAGGACATATACAGGGGGGGAGGGGAAGGGGTTAATGTACAGGAATGTACAGGACATATACAGGGGGGGGGGGGGTAAGGGGTTAATGTACAGGACATATACAGGGGGGGGGGGGGGAGGGGAAGGGGTTAATGTACAGGACATATACAGGGGGGGGGGGGAAGGGGTTAATGTACAGGACATATACAGGGGGGGGAGGGGAAGGGGTTAATGTACAGGACATATACAGGGGGGAGGGGAAGGGGGGTTAATGTACAGGACATATACAGGGGGGGAGGGGTTAATGTACAGGACATATACAGGGGGGGGGGGGGGGGTTAATGTACAGGACATATACAGGGGGGGGGGGAAGGGGTTAATGTACAGGACATATACAGGGGGAGGGGAAGGGGGTTAATGTACAGGACATATACAGGGGGGAGGGGAAGGGTGGTAATGTACAGGACATATACAGGGGGGGGGGAGGGGTTAATGTACAGGACATATACAGGGGGGGGAGGGGAAGGGGTTAATGTACAGGACATATACAAAGGGGGGGGAGGGGAAGGGGTTAATGTACAGGACATATACGGGGGGGGGGAGGGGAAGGGGTTAATGTACAGGACATATACACAGGGGGGGAGGGAAGGGGTTAATGTACAGGACATATACAGTGGTGGGGGGGGAGGGGAAGGGGTTAATGTACAGGACATATACAGGGGGGGAGGGGAAGGGGTTAATGTACAGGACATATTTCAGGGGGGGAGGGGAGGGGAAGGGGTTAATGTACAGGATATATACAGGGGGGGAGGGGAATGTACATGGAGTAATATACAGGGGGGGGGGAGGAGGGGTTAATGTACAGGAATTATATACAGGGGGGGGGGGGAGGGGTTAATGTACAGGACATATACAGGGGGGGAGGGGGAAGGGGTTAATGTACAGGACATATACAGGGGGGGGGGGAAGGGGTTAATGTACAGGACATATACAGGGGGGGGGGGGGAGGGGAAGGGGTTAATGTACAGGACATATACAGGGGGGTGAGGGGTTAATGTACAGGACATATACAGGGGGGGGGGGAGGGGTTAATGTACAGGACATATACAGGGGAGGGGGGGGGATAGGGGTTAATGTACAGGACATATACAGGGGGAAGGGGGAGGGGTTAATGTACAGGACATATACAGGGGGGGGGGGGGAAGGGGTTAATGTACAGGACATATACAGGGGAGGGGGTGGGGTTAATGTACAGGACATATACAGGGGGGGGAGGAGGGGGAGGGTTAATGTACAGGACATATACAGGGTTCGGGGGGGTGGCTCTTGTTCGTTGGTGGCTCCTTGTTCGGGGTGGCTCCTTGTTTGGTGGTGGCTCCTTGTTCGGGGATGGCTCCTTGTCAGGGTGGCTCCTTGTTCAGGGGTTGGCTCCTTGTCAGGGTGGCTCCTTGTTCGGGGGTGGCTCCTTGTCAGGGTGGCTCCTTGTTCAGGGGTTGGCTCCTTGTCAGGGTGGCTCCTTGTTCGGGGGTGGCTCCTTGTTCGGTGGTGGCTCCTTGTTCGGGGGTGTTGCTCCTTGTCAGGGTGGCTCCTTGTTCGGGGTGGCTCCTTGTCAGGGTGGCTCCTTGTTCAGGGGTTGGCTCCTTGTCAGGGTGGCTCCTTGTTCAGGGGTGTTGGCTCCTTGTCAGGGTGGCTCCTTGTTCGGGGATGGCTCCTTGTTCGGGGGGGTGGCTCCTTGTTCGGGGGATGGCTCCTTGTTCGGTGTGGCTCCTTGTCAGGGTGGCTCCTTGTTCGGGGGTGGCTCCTTGTCAAGGTGGCTCCTTGTTCGGGTGGTGGCTCCTTGTCAGGGTGGCTCCTTGTTCGGGGGTGGCTCCTTCTCAGGGTGGCTCCTTGTTCGGGGGTGGCTCCCTTGTCAAGGTGGCTCCTTGTTCGGGGGTGGCTCCTTATCAAGGTGGCTCCTTGTTTGGGGGTTGGCTCCTTGTCAGGGTGGCTCCTTGTTTGGGGGTGGCTGCTTGTCAGGGTGGCTCCTTGTTCGGGGGTGGCTCCTTGTCAGGGTGGCTCCTTGTTCGGGGGTGGCTCCTTGTTCGGTTGGTGGCTCCTTGTTCGGGGGTGGCTCCTTGTTTGGTGGTGGCTCCTTGTTCGGGGATGGCTCCTTGTCAGGGTGGCTCCTTGTTCAGGGGGTGGCTCCTTGTCAGGGTGGCTCCTTGTTCGGGGGTGGCTCCTTGTCAGGGTGGCTCCTTGTTCAGGGGTTGGCTCCTTGTCAGGGTGGCTCCTTGTTCGGGGGTGGCTCCTTGTTCGGTGGTGGCTCCTTGTTCGGGGGTTGCTCCTTGTCAGGGTGGCTCCTTGTTCGGGGATATCTCCTTGTCAGGGTGGCTCCTTGTTCGGGGGTGGCTCCTTGTCAGAGTGGCTCCTTGTTCGGGGATATCTCCTTGTCAGGGTGGCTCCTTGTTCGGGGGTGGCTCCTTGTTTGGTGGTGGCTCCTTGTTCGGGGATGGCTCCTTGTCAGGGTGGCTCCTTGTTCAGGGGTTGGCTCCTTGTCAGGGTGGCTCCTTGTTCGGGGGGGTGGCTCCTTGTCAGGGTGGCTCCTTGTTCAAGGGGTTGGCTCCTTGTCAGGGTGGCTCCTTGTTCAGGGGTTGGTTCCTTGTCAGGGTGGCTCCTTGTTCGGGGGTGGCTCCTTGTCAGGGTTGCTCCTTGTTCGGGGATATCTCCTTGTCAGGATGGCTCCTTGTCAGGGTGGCTCCTTGTTCGGTGGTTGCTCCTTGTTCGGGGATGGCTCCTTGTTCGGGGATGGGCTCCTTATTTGGTGGTGGCTCCTTGTCAGGGTGGCTCCTTGTTCGGGGGTTGGCTCCTTCTCAGGGTGGCTCCTTGTTCGGGGGGTGGCTCCTTGTCAAGGTGGCTCCTTGTTCGGGGGTGGCTGCTTGTCAGGGTGGCTCCTTGTTCGGGGGTGGCTGCTTGTCAGGTGTGGGGTCCTTGTCGGTGGCGGGGGTCCTTGTCGGGGTTTCTCCTTGTACAGGGGTTCTGGCTCCTTGTTGGGGTGGCTCCTTGTGAGAGGGGGTGGCTCCTTGTGAGGGGGTGGCTCCTTGTCGGTGGCGGGTCCTTGTCGGGGTTTCTCCTTGTTCAGGGGCAGCTCCTTGTCAGGGTGGCTCCTTTTTCAGGGGCGGGACCTTGTCAGGGTGGCTCCTTGTTTAGGGGCGGCTCCTTGTCGGGGGCGGCTCCTTGTCAGGGTGGCTCCTTGTTGGGGGCGGGTCCTTATCAGGGTGGCTCTTTGTTCAGGGGCGGGTCCTTGTCACCTGACGGCGCCCTCTGTTCCTCTGCAGGGGGAAGAGCATGGAGGAGCGGCAGCAGCTGATCAAGCAGCTGAAGGAGGAGCTGCGGCTGGAGGAGGCGCGGCTGGTGCTGCTGAAGAAGCTGCGTCAGAGTCAGCTGCAGAAGGAGAACGTCCTGCAGAAGGTAGGTGATTCCCGGACTCCGCCCCCCACCTACTGTCCCGGAGATCTGCGCTCTGTACAACGCCACTGCAGACATCGGTGACATCCGGCTTAAAGGGGAACTCCGTACAGCTGGAGCTGCACTTGGTCCGGAGGATTCCGCTGTACTGAGAGTGCGCTGACCGAGCTTCACTGACATCACCGCCCCCTACAGTCCGGAGGCGGAGCCTCTCAGTCATGTGACCGCTGTGACATCCAATCACACTGGAAGCATGATCGGGTTACTAATGCTGGCACCGGCAGTGTCCCCGTCATGTGACCAGTCCCAATAGTCACATGATCAGGGTAAATAATGCCGGTCACATGATCAGGAACTCCGCCTGCCAGTCATTGAAGGGGGTACCTGTGAGAAGAGAAATACAGGGGGCGCCATTGTTGTCCTTTCTGTCCTGTTGTCTGACCCGCCTTCTGACCCGCCTTCTCCTGACCCGCCTTCTCCTGACCCGCCTTCTCCTGACCCGCCTTCTCCTGACCCGCCTTCTCCTAACCCGCCTTCTCCTGACCCGCCTTCTCCTGACCCGCCTTCTGACCCGCCTTCTAACCCGCCTTCTCCTGACCCGCCTTCTCCTGACCCGCCTTCTAACCCCCCCTGCCTTCTCCTGACCCGCCTTCTCCTGACCCGCCCGTCTGACCCACCTTCTAACTGACCCGCCTTCTCCTGACCCACCTTCCTCCTGACCCGCCTTCTCTGACCCGCCTTCTCCTGACCCCGCCTTCTCCTGACCCTCCTTCTGACCCTCCTTCTCCTGACCCCCCTTCTCCTGACCCGCCGTCTGACCCACCTTCTCCTGACCCGCCTTCTCCTGACCCCTCCTTCTGACCCGCCTTCTCCTGACCCGCCTTCCTGACCCGCCTCCTCCTGACCCCGCCGTCTGACCCGCCTTCTCCTGACCCGCCTTCTGACCCGCCTTCTTCTGACCCGCCTTCTCCGCCATTCTCTTTCAGAATCCCGTGGCGCAGAACGCGGCCACCATCGTCCAGCCGTCACCCACACACGTGGGGCAGCCCAGCCTGGCGAAAGTCCCGTCGCGGCCAGGAGCTCCGGGATTGGACGTGCAGAATCTGCGCAGCATTCAGGTACCTAACGAGACTCCGCCCCTGTGACGTCACATGACCGATCAGGCTGCGCACTGACCAATGTCTTCCTCTGGCAGACTCACAGCGTCATCCGCTCCTCCTCCAACGCCCCCCTGCCGCACATGATGATGTCACAGAGAGTCATCGCCCCCAACCCCACCCAGCTCCAGGGCCAGTGTGTCCCGCCCAAATCCAGCCTGATCCGCAACAGCACGCCGAGCATGACGACGCAGGCGCTCAACTACCCGCAGGTAGGTACCCCGCCCCTGTCTGACATCACCAATCCACTGCCAGGGCTGAGATGATGTCACCATTCTGCTGCAGGCAGGAGGAGGCGTTTCCTCAGTCTCCTCCCTCAGTGATCAGACTGTACATTGTAACTTTGTAGAAGAAGGTGGAGTCATTTCCTCAGTCTCCTCCCCCAGTGATCAGACTGTACATTTTAGAAGGAGGAGGAGGCATTTCCTCAGTCTCCCCTCCCCCCAGTGATCAGACTGTACATTGTAACTTTGTAGAAGGGGGAGGAGTCATTTCCTCAGTCTCCTCCCCCAGTGGTCAGACTGTACATTGTAACTTTGTAGAAGGAGGAGGAGTCATTTCCTCAGTCTCCTCCCCCAGGTCATCAGACTGTACATTGTAACTTTGTAAAAGGAGGAGGAGTCATTTCCTCAGTCTCCTCCCCCAGTGATCAGACTGTACATTGTAACTTTGTAGAAGGAGGAGGAGTCATTTCCTCAGTCTCTCCTCCCCCAGTCATCAGACTGTACATTGTAACTTTGTAAAAGGAGGAGGAGTCATTTCCTCAGTCTCCTCCCCCAGTGATCAGACTGTACAATGTAACTTTGTAGAAAGAGAGAGGAGTCATTTCCTCGGTCTCCTCCCCCAGTGATCAGACTGTACATTGTAACTTTGTAGAAGGGGGAGGAGTCGTTTCCTCAGTCTCCCCCCCCCCAGTGATCAGACTGTACATTGTAACTTTGTAGAAGGGGGAGGAGTCATTTCCTCAGTCTCCTCCCCCAGTGGTCAGACTGTACATTGTAACTTTGTAGAAGGAGGAGGAGTCATTTCCTCAGTCTCCTCCCCCAGTGGTCAGACTGTACATTGTAACTTTGTAGAAGGGGGAGGAGTCATTTCCTCAGTCTCTCCTCCCCCCAGTGATCAGACTGTACATTGTGACTTTGTAGAAGGGGGAGGAGTCATTTCCTCAGTCTCTCCTCCCCCCAGTGATCAGACTGTACATTGTAACTTTGTAGAAGGGGGAGGAGTCATTTCCTCAGTCTCTCTCCCTCCCCAGTGATCAGACTGTACATTGTGACTTTGTAGAAGGAGGAGGAGTCATTTCCTCAGTCTCCTCCCCCAGTGATCAGACTGTACACTGTAACTTTGTAGAAGGAGGAGCATGCTCCAGTGAGGCGCCTGCGTGTGATTGGTGGCTCAGCAGTCCCATCAGACTGATAGGGGAGGCAGAGAGGGAACCCCCCCGAGCACCGCAGGGAAGCCTCACTGGTACCTGACACAGGAACTGCCACGACTCACCTTGACTTCTGTTGAGGGAGGAGCCAATCGCCAGGACCGATCGCGCCCCTTGACGTGTTTTTTGACATTTAGAGGGACGGGGATTGCATGCTGGGGGTTGTAGCTCCTCCCAACAGGGCCGCGCTGACTAATGACAGGTCCCCGCCCCCTTGTTCTTCCCCCTCAGCAATCCGCCTCGTCCGTCCCGTGTCAGCGCAGCAGCTCGTCCGCCATGTACATGAACCTTGGCTCCCACCTGCAGGCCGGCTCCGTCAACCCGACGTCAAATGAGTGTCTTCCCCCCCCCTGCCCAGTCCCAGCTCCGTGCAGGACCCCGTCAGCTCCCAGGCTGCCGCCAAGCTGGCCCTGCGCAAGCAACTGGAGAAAACGCTGCTGGAGATCCCTCCGCCCAAGCCACCCGCCCCGCTCCTCCACTTCCTGCCCAGCGCCGCCAACAGCGAATTCATCTACATGGTGGGCCTGGAGGAGGTGGTGCAGAGCGTCATCGACAGCCAGGGTAAGGCAAAGCCAACATGGCTAACCCAGCGTGCTCTGGGATTCCTTTCTCATTCCTTTTCTTTTTTTCTTTTTTTTTTTTTTTTACTTAGTAATTTTTTTTTTTTTAAATTTGTAATTTTCTTTTTTTTACTTTGTCATTTTTTTTTACTTTGTCATTTTTTTTTAATTTATAATTTTCTTTTTTACTTTGTCATTTTTTTTTTTACTTTGTCATTTTTTTTTTTTAATTTTTAATTTTCTTTTTTTACTTTGTCATTTTTTTTTTACTTTGTCATTTTTTTTTTTTAATTTATAATTTTCTTTTTTACTTTGTCATTTTTTTTTTTACTTTGTCATTTTTTTTTTTAATTTATAATTTTCTTTTTTACTTTGTCATTTTTTTTTTACTTTGTCATTTTTTTTTTTTAATTTGTAATTTTCTTTTTTTACTTTGTCATTTTTTTTTTAATTTGTAATTTTCTTTTTTTTACTTTGTCATTTTTTTTTTTTAATTTATAATTTTTTTTTTACTTTGTCATTTTTTTTTTTTAATTTGTAATTTTCTTTTTTTACTTTATCATTTTTTTTTCTACTTTGTCATTTTTTTTTTAGTTTGTCATTTTTTTTTTAATTTATAATTTTCTTTTTTACTTTGTCATTTTTGTTTACTGTCATTTTTTTTTTAATTTGAAATTTTCTTTTTTTTTGTAATTTTTTTTTTGCTTTGTAATTTGTTTTACTTTTCATTTTTTTTTTTACTTTGCTTTGTAATTTGTTTTACTTTGTCATTTTCTTTTTTTACTTTGTCATTTTTTTTACTTTGCCATTTTTTTTTTAGTTTGTCATTTTTTTTTAATTTATAATTTTCTTTTTTACTTTGTCATTTTTGTTTACTGTCATTTTTTTTTCATTTGTAATTTTCTTTTTTTACTTTGTAATTTTTTTTTTTTTGCTTTGTAATTTGTTTTACTTTGTCATTTTTTTTTTTTTTTACTTTGTAATTTTTTTTTTTTTTACTTTGTCATTTTTGTTTACTGTCATTTTTTTTTTACTTTGTAATTTTCTTTTTTTACTTTGTCATTTTTTTTACTTTGTAGTTTTTTTTTAATTTGTAATTTTCTTTTTTTGCTTTGTCATTTTTTTTTTTACTTTGTAATTTGTTTTACTTTGTCATTTTTTTTTTTTTACTTTGTAATTTGTTTTACTTTGTCATTTTTTTTTTTTACTTTGTCATTTTTGTTTACTGTCATTTTTTTTTTAATTTGTAATTTTCTTTTTTTACTTTGTCATTTTTTTTTTATTTTGTCTTTTTTTTTTTTTACTTTGTCATTTTTTTTTACTGTCATTTTTTTTTTTTCATTTGTAATTTTCTTTTTTTACTTTGTAATTTTTTTTTTACTTTGTAATTTTCTTTTTTTTACTTTGTCATTTTTTTTTTATTTTGTCTTTTTTTTTTTTTTTACTTTGTCATTTTTTTTTACTGTCATTTTTTTTTTTTTCATTTTAATTTTCTTTTTTTTACTTGTATTTTTTTTTTTACTTTGTAATTTTCTTTTTTTTACTTTGTCATTTTTTTTTTTTTTTTACTTTGTAATTTTTTTTTACTTTGTAATACAATTATGCTGCGAAAAAAAACCACAAAAACAAACACCGATTTGAAAACCGAAAACTTTAATTAAATTGACCCAATGCCATTTATTTACCCCTGTAAAGAGAACCTGTGGTCCCCGATAAGTATGACATTCCTTGAGACAGGTTTAGGACCCCCCAGGGTGTTGGTTTAGGACCCCCCAGGGTGTTGGTTTAGGACCCCCCAGGGTGTTAGTTTAGGACCCCCAGGGTGTTAATTTAGGACCCCCCCATGGGTGTTGGTTTAGGACCCCCCCAGGGTGTTAGTTTAGGATCCCCAGGGTGTTAGTTTAGGACCCCCCAGGGTGTGTTGGTTTAGGATCCCCAGGGTGTTGGTTTTAGGACCCCTCAGGGGTGTTGGTTTAGGACCCCCCAGGGTGTTGGTTTTGGATCCCCAGGGTGTTAGTTTAGGACCCCCCAGGGTGTGTTAGTTTAGGACCCCCCAGGGTGTTGGTTTAGGATCCCCAGGGGGTTGGTTTAGGACCCCCCAGGGTGTTGGTTTAGGACCCCCAGGGTGTTGGTTTAGGATCCCCAGGGGGTTGGTTTAGGACCCCCCAGGGTGTTGGTTTAGGACCCCCCCCCAGGGTGTTGGTTTAGGACCCCCAGGATGTTTCATTTGCCCCTTAAAGGTGGCCGCGGGGCGAGGTTTACCATCCCCCCGCCCTCCACTTCAGCACTCGGCGGTGTGGGCGGGCCCTGACAACTGGTGACTCGGGGGGCGGGGTTTAGTAGATTGCATCCCTTGCGTACCGGCAGCACTCCCGCCCGTAAATATCGAGTTATATTTATAAATTGAAGTATTGGAGCCGCCATTAAGCTCCGCCCCTTCCCGCAGCGTTCCACGCAGAAGTAGACTCCTCCCTCTCTCCAGGCACTTTCCTGACCCCCCCTAACCACCACTCTGTCTCAACAGGCAAAGGCTGCCCCCTCGCTGCTTCACATGGACCCCTTCACTTGCGCCCAATGCCGCACCGACTTCACCCCCCACTGGAAGCAAGAGAAGAGCGGGAAGATCCTGTGCGAGCAATGCATGACGTCCAATCAGAAGAAAGCGCTCAAAGCAGAACACACACCAACCGACTAAAAAAAACGCCTTCGTCAAAGCCTTGCAGCAGCAGGAGCAGGTGAGGTTCCATGTAGAATGGCGCGACGGACCCCCCATCATCCCACCAACCCCCCATCCCCACCACCCGGGACCGCAACCCCCTCCCCTACCCCCCGGACCCCTCCCCTACCCCGGGACCGCAACCCCCTCCCCTCCCCAACCCCCCCTAACCCGGGACCGCAACCCCTCCCCCTCACCTTCCACCTCCATACCCCCGAGGACCACCCCTCCCCCACCTGACCCCGGACCGCAAACCCCTGGTCCCCCTTCCCCTACCCCCTCCCCAACCCCCCACTCCCCTAACCCCCGGGACCCCGCAAACCTTACCCACTCCCCAACCCCGGGACCGCAACACCCTCCCCAACCCCTGGGAACCCACCCCCCAACCCCTCCCCTACCCCTCCCCAACCATCCAACCCCATCAACCCCTCCAACCCTAACCCCAGGACTAGCACCACCCCCCCCCAATCACAACCCCCCCCCCAAGCCCATCGAACTGGAACAACACACAATCAACCCCTCCTACCTAACCCCAGCTTCCCCCCCACCCCAAATCCCAATCTCCCCTAAAACACATATCCCCTACCCCGGGGGACCCAACCCCTCCCCTACCCCCAGGACCCTCCACACCCCCCCTCCCCCACCCCCCCCCCCCTAAACCTCCAACCTACACCCAACAACCCCCCCCCTAAAACCCACAAACAACACCAAACCCCCCCCCCCCCCCACCTAACCCCTCCTACCCCCCCCCCCTGGGACCGCAACCCCTCCCCCCCCCCCCCTCCCCCCCTCCCCCAACCCTGGGACCCGCCAAACCCCCTCCCTCTACCCCCTCCCCTACCCCCCCCCCCCCCCCGGAGTACCGCGCAACCCCTCCCCTACCCCCCCCTCCCTACCCCGGGACCCGCAACCCCTCCCCTACCCCTCCCCTACCCCCCCCCAACCCCTGCAACCCTGACCCCTAACCTCCCCAACCCTCCCCTACCCCTCCCCAACCCCTGGGGGACCGCAACCCCTCCCCTACCCCCCCCAACCCCTCCCCTACCCCCCCCCCACCCAGGGTGACCGCTACCCCTCCCCAACCCCTCCCCTACCCCCCCTACCCGAGGACCGCAACCCCTCCCCTACCCCTCCCCTACCCCAGGACTGCAACCCCTCCCCACAACCCCTCCCCAACCCCGGGACCGCAACCCATCCCCAACCCCTCCCTACCCCGGGACCGCAACCCCTCCCCAACCCTCCCCAACCCCTGGGGACCGCAAACCCTCCCCTCCCCCCTCCCCAACCCTGGAGACCGCAAACCCCTCCCCTACCCCTCCCCTACCCGGCGGACCGCAACCCCTGCAACCCCAGGACCGCAACCCCCGGCTGACTAAGAGCTGGGACCGACCGAACCCCTCCCCTACCCCTCCACCTCTAACCCTGAGAAACCGGGAACGAGTCCCCTGGCCCTCCCCAAACCCCGATCAAACGCATCCATCCCCTTTGACCCCTCCCCAGGTGAGGATCCTCCCCTAATAGGGGACCGCAACCCCTCCCCCTACCCTTCCCTGGTAAAGGACTGCAAACCCCGGGACCACAAACCCTCCCCAACCACTCCCAACCCATCCCTATCTACCCCGGGACCGTGTTTCAACCCCTTGGCCCATACCACTCCCCAACCCCTTGATACCCCAAAAAAAAGCTGCACAATGTAAAATTAAAAAAAAAAACTGCTACAATGTAAATAAAAAAGAAAAAAACTGCAACCCATGTAAATTTACCGCAACCCGCCGGCTGGACTATAGTAAACGACCAAATTAAAAAAAAAAAAAGGCTACAATGTAAATTAAAAAAAAAAAAAAGGTACAATGTAAATTAAAAAAAAAAAAGGTACAATGTAAATTAAAAAAAAAAAAAAGGTACAATGTAAATTTTAAAAAAAAAAAGGTACAATGTAAATTTAAAAAAAATAGTTTGTTGCCGTTCCTTGGGCGCGATCGATTTTTAAAAGAGCAACATGTTTGGTATCTATGTACTCGCCGTAACGTCACCTTTTTATACCCTACCAGAAATTAGGAGTAATATTTGTGTCTGTGCGCCCTAAAATTCATGAGCGCATTTTTTTTTCCTAAAATATTTACATTTGAAAAACCACCGTGCAAACACCGTGCGATGTAAAAAAATTGCAACACCCACCGTTTTATTCTGTAGGACCTCTGCATAAAGAAAAAAAAAAATATATATATATATATATATATATATATATATATAAAATTAGGGTTTCTGAGTGATTTTCTAGCAAAAATAAATGATGATTTTTTTTACATTTCTGGGAGAAGTGTCAGAATAGATCTGAGGGAGGAGGGGGTCCACTTTTTTGAATAAAAATATTAAGATGAGAACATCATTTTTTTATATTTTCCCCAAAATTTGGTATTTTATTTTGTCTGTGTGCCCTAAAATTCATTAACAGGTATTTTTTCCTTACACACCATGTACAAAATTGTGACACCCACCGTTTTATTTTCTAGGGCCTCTGCTTTAAAAAAAAAAAATATATATATACAGTTGCAAGAAAAAGTATGTGAACCCCTTGGGATTACGTGGAGTTTTGCATGAATTGGGCATAAAATGTGCTCTGAACGTCATCTAAGTCACAACAATAGAAGAACACAGTCTGCTGAACATAATACTACACAAACATTAGATGTTGCCATGGTTTAATTGCACATAACATGTAAACATTCACAGCGCAGGGAGGAAAAAGTATGTGAACCTTTGGATTTAATAACTGATTGACCCTCCTTTGGCAGCAATAACCTCAACCAAACGTTTCCTGTAGTTGCAGATCAGACCTGCACAACGATCTGGAGTCATTTTGGACCACTCCTCTTCACAAAACTGTTTCAGTGTAGCAATATTCTTGGGATGTCTGGTGTGAATCGCTCTCTTAAGGTCATGCCACAGCATTTCAATGGGGTTGAGGTCAGGACTCTGACTGGGCCACTCCAGAAGGCGTATTCTGTGCTGTTGCAGCCATTGTTTTGTTGAATGACTTGTATGCTTTGGGTCATCATTGTCCTGTTGCATCACCCATCCTCTGCGGAGCTTCAGTTGGCGGACAGATGGTCGTATGTTTTCCTGCAAAATGTCTTGATAAACTCTGGAATTCATTTTCCCATCAATGACAACAATCCGTCCAGGCCCTGAGGCAGCAAAGCAGCCCCAAACCATGATGCTCCCTCCGCCATGTTTCACAGTGGGGATGAGGTTTTGATGTTGGTGTGCTGGGCCTTTTTTTCTCCACACATAGTGTTGTGTGTTCTTCCCAAACAACTCAATCTTGGTTTCATCTGTCCGCAGTATATTCTGCCAGTAGTGCTGTGGAACATCCAGGTGCTCTTTTGCAAACTTCAAACGTGCTGCAATCTTCTTTTTGGACAGCAATGGCTTCCTCCGTGGTGTCCTCCTCCATGTACTCCATTCTTGTTTAATGTTTTCCGTATTGTAGATGTGTCAACAAAAATGTTAGCATGTGCCAGAGATTTCTGTAGGTCTTTAGCTGACACTCTGGGATTCTTCTTTACCTCATGCAGCATTCTGCGCTGTGCTCTTGCAGTCATTTTTACAGGACGACCACGCCTAGGGAGAGTAGCAACAGTGCTAAACTTTCTCCATTTGTAGACAGTCAGTCTTACCGTGGACACAGGAACATCAAGGCTCAAGGAGATACTTTTGTAACCCTTTCCAGCTTCATGCAAGTCAACAATTCTTGATGGTAGGTCTTCTGAGAGCTCTTTTCTGCGAGGCATGGTTCACATCAGACAGTGCTTCTTGAAACCAGTAAACCCAAAACAGGTGTCAGCAACACATCCAATATCATCGCACTGATTGGAGTCAAGGTTGGCTCACTCCTGGCTCCAATTAGCTCTGGGAGAAGTCATTAAGCTAGGGCCTCACATACTTTTTCCTCCCTGCGCTGTGAATGTTTACATGTTATGTGCAATTAAACCATGGCAACATCTAATGTTTGTGTAGTATTATGTTCAGCAGACTGTGTTCTTCTATTGTTGTGACTTAGATGACGTTCAGAGCACATTTTATGCCCAATTCATGCAAAACTCCACGGAATCCCAAGGGGTTCACATACTTTTTCTTGCAACTGTATATATATTATATATAAAATGTTTGAGGGTTTCTAAGTGATCTTCTAGCAAAAAAAAAATAAAAACGCTGAAATTTTTTTTTTTACATTTCCCAGAGAGGTGTCAGAATAGATCTGGGGGGGGGGGGGGGGGGGGGGGGGGGGGGGGGGGGGGGGGGGGACCAGCGGTAAAAGACTTTTGGAATAAAAATATTAAGATGAGAATATCACCTTTTTTATATTTTCCCAAAAACTGAGTATTATATTTTGTCTGTGTGCACTAAAATTCATCAACGTATTTTTTTTCCTAAAAAAATTTACATTTGAAAAACCGCCGCACAATCACCGCACGATGTAAAAAAAATTGCGCCACCCACCGTTTTTTTCTCTAGGGCCTCTGCGTAAAAAAAAAAAAATATATATATATATATATATCTATAAAATATTTAAGGGTTTCTAAGTGATTTTCCAGCAAAAAAAAAAACGCTGAATTTTTTTTTTTTTACATTTCCCAGAGAGGTGTCAGAATAGATCTGGGGGGGGGGGGGGGGGGGGGGGGGGGGGGGGGGGGGGGGGGGGGGGGTCCAGTGGTAAAAAAAAAACTTTTTGAAATAAAATTATTAAGATGACAACATCACCTTTTTATATTTTCCCAAAAATTAAATATTCTATTTTGTCTGTGTGCATTAAAATTCATTAATGTGTATTTTTTCCTTAAAAAAGTTACGTTTGATATATCGTGTGATGTAAAAAAAAATTGCGACACCCACCGTTTTATTCTCTAGGGTCTCTGCTTAAAAAATTTATATATATATATATATATATATACCGTATTTTCCGGCGTATAAGACGACCCCCTACTTTTTCCTGTTTAAAATGTAGCGTTTGGGCTA